TTTTGGATGGAGAGGCAGACGAATTAGAGACCTTGGAGGAGGTTACTATGCAGTTCCAGCTTCTGGTTCAAGATCCGACTCGCCAAGTGGTCACAATGAGTGAGGCTGGTTCTGGGATTCAAGTGAAGACAGGTCATGGTATGACTAGTGATCCGGCAAAGGTCTACACAACAGAAGCCAAGCATCAAGAGGAACAGCTGAGAGCAGCGCAGCAAGAGCAAATGAAGAAGCAGAAGAAGAAGGAGAGTTGAAAGAGGAGAATGAAGAGGAGAACGTAAGAGATGAAGATGTTGAAGAGGAGCCCAAGCCAACAAGGCATGCGAGAAGAGAAGAAGAACATAAATGATGCCTCCTGATGATAACGAAGAGGAAGATGTTCTCGTAGATGAGGAAGAAGCCAAAGAGAGAAGTGAAGAAACAACGCAACAGAGGAGGCCACTGAGTTTTTCAGATCGAGTTGCAGAAGAGTTGTTGGCGCAAGGGCGCGAGCTTCGACAACACGCTGCGTCATCTTCAGATGGACCGGGCGTGTTGATGATTCTGGGTTCAGAGTTTGTGACGCAGACCAGACATGACAAGCTTTCATGCCTGGAGGAGCGACCTACGATGCGCGAATTTTGGATTGAAGATTGATCTAGCTCGAACCCTACAAGCTGTTGAGGACCACCTGAGAGAGCTGCAGGCTACGCGCAATCCCTTTTGCCACCGGGAAGTCTGGAACACCTAGAACTACTGCAGGCCTTGGCCTTACTTGCCAGAGGCCAGAACTGCAAGGGGTTCATGTCAGCAGCAATCACGTTCATGAAGTGGGAGGAGAGAGGAAGGTCAGACACGTTTTCCAGCCAGATGATCGCACAGCTGATAGAGGAGAAGAGGAAGACCATGTCACAGGTGATGAGGCAGAAGTCACTAGAGACGAGATAGAAGAAGAAGCCGAGGAAAACTGTAGTAAAAATGAAGAAGTTGCAGTGGATGACGAGGATGAAAACAACAGCAATGAAGAAGAAGGCGAAGAAGATGATGGAGGCTGCCGTCAGAGACAGCCAAGGACGTGTTCAAGAGGTTCTGAGCGCAGTGACTATGAGCAGTGGAAGATCACTTGCTACTGCCATACTCAGAGGATGATAAACCTTTCGACTGCAACCCAGCAGCAGGGTCTACAGCTTTGAGGATTGTTGACCCCAAGCCAAGAGACTGTGCTGGGAGAGAGATCTAGAATCCACATGAAAGTGGAGAAGAAGGTCGATGACCAGTCTGAAAGTGGACTGAAATGCCTAGGATGACGCGCGCAAATCATGAAGTGCCTGTAAACTTCCGCAGTGGCTCGAGACAGAAAGGGCCGCTCTTTCAGGTTTGAGAGATGTCTAATTCCTTTTTCTTTTTTGATCGAGAAAGGCTTTTGATGGAATTCGCCATCATGCAGCTCTCACCGAATGTGCATTCAGCTCTCACCGAATGTGCTGCTGCTATTGTTCTCCAGATATAGCAAAGCTATGGGGTTCTTTTTTCAAAAAACAGTGAGCTGCTTGTGCGCGCTTTCGAGACAGGTTGCTGGCGCTGGTGCTGTGAGCTGGCTGTGCGCGTGGTGCCGGTGCTGGGCGCCGGGCGCCGGTGCTGGTGCTGTGAGCTGGCTGTGCACCTGGTGACAGGGCGCCCTGGTGCTGGGGTGCTGGAACAGGGTGGCGGTGGTGGTGCTGGGTGCTGGCTGTGCGCGTGGTGGAGACATGGTGCTGGCGCTGGGTGCCGGGTGCCGGTGCTGGCGCTGTGTGCTGGCTGTGCGCGTGGTGGAGACAGGGCGCCGGCGCTGGTGTTGCTGGTGCTGGCTGTGGCGCTGGTGCTGTGCGTGAGTGGTGCGCCGGTGCTCGGCGCTGGTGCCTGCTTCTGACAGTGAAGTGGTAACAACCGCCGCTTCTGACAGTGAAGGGTGACAAACCGCCGCTTGTAGCAGTGAAGGGCGACCAACCGCCGCTTCTGACAGTGAAGTGCTAGCAGTCATGGGCCGCGTGAACTTATGCGCATCATACGGTGTTGTCGCTTGAGCGTTCTTTGTCTATTTACACTCTTCAGGTTCTGTTTTGCTGTGTCAAGGGCTGTGCTATTTGCGCGCATACTTTTGCACGTATCATGTTCTATGCGCAACGTCAAGCTCTCAACCGACCATTGTTTCAGCATGTTTCAGCGTGCTACACGCGCAATAGTCGCGCTGGATATTGCTTGGCCTCGGGCGAGTGAAGCCTACGGGCTTTGCCGTTGCACGCATGCTTTTGGGTGCGTAAACTTATACGTGCAAGATCATACGGCCTTATCGTTCTACAGATCGTTGCTTCAAGCATGCTACAAAATCAATAGTGGCACTGGATACTGCTTGGCCTTGGACCAATGACACTTACGAGCTTTGCTGTTTGCGCGCATACTTTTGCGCGCATAAACTTTTACGCGCAAGACCATACGTTGTTATTCCCTAAATAGGGATCATACTGCAAACAAGAATGAGCTGGGTGCGCGCGCTTTCGAAAGGGGGTGTTGGCGCTGGTGCTGTTGTTGTGGTCCTGGGTGCTGGTGCTGTGAGCTGGCTGAGCGCGCGTATAAGACGGGCGCCGGCGCTGGTCGGGCGCTGGTGCCACTGCCGGTGTTGTCAGGTGGCAAAGCGCACCGGTGCTGGTGTCAGCTGGTTGCGCGCTGCAAAATCGCCGTAAGCTGGCTGTGCAGGCTGCGTACATTCTTGTTCCAGCCAGTCGCGTGTCAACAGGTCGTGGGATTCTGCCTAGCTATCTGGGTCTATGCTGGTGTACATTAGGACAGTTATGGGTGCTTTCCATTGAACAGGCAATGTCCTGCTTCTTTCATGAACATCTCAAAAGCTCTGCAGTTGCACGAAGGCTTGAAAGCGACACTTTGGTGGGTGTTGTGTGGGCTTCCAAGCAATGTTTACTGTTGGGAATGATCTCTGCTGCTGACGCTCGTCTTATTGCAAACACGCCGGTGTTGTTTTTGGAGTTGCGTTCGCTGCTTGCTTGAATATGAATCCGCTCGCGCGTGCGCCTTGGATACAGCGCGGGAGTTTTGCGCTACTTCTGGCCCTTCTGCTTACTTGGCCTTGTTGTCCCTGAGCAGTTTGCTCCTTGGCTTGTGCATTGGCAGCTGTTGCGCCTTGGTGGCCCTAGCCTGGGTGTCGACAAGGTCTGGTACTTGCAGCTTCGACTACATTGGCCACCGTTGTCCCTGGTAAAAGGCCTGCAGAGACGCGCGTGAGCAGGAAGTGACAGTTGCACTTGCAGGCTCGACTGTCGGAGTTTCAAGATGACTGTTCAGGACTCAGCTCTTCCAGTTTCGTCTCGGGTCCTCCCCGTCTCCTCTTCACAGGCCCTGAGGTCACTACAGCTCCGCCGCCCAGACGGCCACACCCATTGGTGGCAGCAGGTCAAGGGCGCCTTGCAGGCGCCGCTCTGTTACGATTCCAGCGTTGATGGCGAGTTTTTGAAGAAATTTGGCTTCCGGAGGAGTGCTTGATTGCGCCATTGGCTTGACGAGTTTTGGCATTTGCTTCAGCGCAAGATTTGGGAAAAAATTCGTGGGATCCACACACACACACACTCACTTGCGAACAGTCCGACGGTTCGCCCCTCTAAGCCCTTCCACATACGTGGGGTGGTAGAAGGTAGACAGACATCCACATATCGAAAATAACACAAGGACATGGGGCTGACCGATGTACAGGTGCAAACAAAAAGGTACCAAGATCATCCCATGTGAATTACAAATTCCGAATTAGCTAGCCCGCTCAGTTGTCAATGTTGATCGTCTCAAGGGTCATGTTGTTCCGGATGCAGAAAGAAAGACGCCTGCAAAAGACGCCTGTAAAATCTGTGTGTGTGTGTCCAACTCCGTCTCTAGGAGTACGCATTTTTTGGCCTTTTATTGATGCAATTAGCGTGGGGGCTGGTTGTTCATGCAAGTACCAAGGCTTGCATTGAACACTGATATCGGTGGGGATGCTCACCGACGTACCTGCTCTTGAAGAAACCTAGGTAGAGCGCAAACTGTTCCGATTCGGTGTTTCCTGCCTTGCTGTGAAGGTCTCGTACATCGGCGAATCATTGTCTAAACTTAACACTCATTCATTGAGCTACGAGTCTAAGTGTGTGTTGTGCAAGTGCATGTGGCAAAGTTGTTGGAGAGCAGCTTTGCCAGAATCACAAGCTGTGCCACCAATGCGCCACAGCTGGGCAACAACCCTTCGACACCATGTTTGTTTGACCCGCGAGCCGCGAGCGAGCAGAAAGAACCGATTGAACAAAAGACATGCCACGTGTTATCACATTATAAAAGTTGAGGTAGAAGATGCTCGTGCCAATCTTAAAAGAAGGCCATGGCATGTTTTGACATGTCTTTAGAGTCTTTTGGAAATTGTTTTCCTTCAGTGGACACCAGAGCACGCTGAGCACGCAGGTTAGCCAGCAGCTGCCGGAGTGTTTGTGGCTTGGCTGATTTTGAGCCTTCGTGGAGCTTTAGCAATGAAACCAGTTTGCAAACAGTTTTTTCATGTGCTTGATGTGATGCCAACACTTCGCAACGTTGCCATCTTACCAGGAGAACAATGTGACGATGTGCTGGAGCTGAGCAAAAACAGTTCGCAAAGAGAAGAGTTCCATTCGTCCCGCTTAGAAACTTGGGGTTCCATGTTGATGAAACTTTAGATTACCGCAATCGAGTGAACGATGGGTAAAATGTCCGACGTTTCGCATTTCTAAATTACTTGGCATGTTCCATTCGCGCAGCTTTGACCCGTGAGTTTCCGGAGACTGAAACAGAAAACATCTGTGAACTGGCTAAAACTTTTGTCGGCTCAACATTTCAGAGTACATGATTTTTTTTGAATTTTTGACACCATCTCCTGGCATTCAAAAAATCTACTAGCACCATTGGACATCAAACAATTAACATATTTTGTTTTGCAGTGCCGTGGCAGGTCCCATCTCGCAATGACTTAAGAACACGGCATGAAACCATGGCATGAAACTGTTTCATGAGAACATGTGCCTGGCATGGTTTGGAGATTGCCAAGGCACCTGTGCAGTTCTTTTTTCGTGTGTGTTTGATTCAGCAACATAGTTGGTTCCTTTTGGCAACCTCCCTTTGCCAAAGCAAACAGTTTTAGTTATATAGAGTATATAGTTTAGTTGTATAGTTAGTGTCTCCAAACATTAGGCAACTGTTTTGACCATGCGAAGGGTTTTTCAATGCAGGCTTTGTGCGAGACCTCCTTCAAAGCTGCCATGGGAAAGCTGTTTTGTGCGAGACACCCTCCGAAGCATGAGTTCAATGTTACCCGAAAACCGCAGAGATTTGCTGAGCCATTTCCAATTTGTTTCGTGCATCCGTGGCGCAAACCCCGCAGAGGGTTGTTGATACTCCAAACTTGCACTTCGCGTAGGCTTCGCTCATGTGACTTGCGTTTGCACCTCCTACACGCGCACACACACACACATGCACATTACACCAAGGCGGCGGCGTTTCGGGCTACAAATCCGGACCACAGTGCCCCAAAGAGAGAAGTTATAGAAAGTAAATAGGGCGGCACCCACGTCCATGTCTAGGTTTACACTTTGCACACTGACATGCGCAAAGTTGAAGATGAGGAAAATGAAGGTCAAAGAAAGATAACAGTGATGAAGATGAAAAGGGAGACAATGAAGATGATAGGCATGAAGATGGATGAGCTATGAAAATGAGCAGCGCAGTAGTGGACCAGACATTTTTGGAGAACAAACCTTTTTGCAGGTGCTTAGAAGAACTTCTGCGTTTAACACTCTCACCAACTTTGGAGTTTTTGGCAGGTTTAATAACGTCTTGATCATCAGCATCCAGCTTTGGTCGGCATCTTAGTAGCGTAGAGCTGGACGGCACCAGTTGTATTTGCAACAGTGCCAAGTAAAACTTGTTTTTGCGTTCGTCAAGCATGACACACTCCATTCATTCTTGATTGACTGATTCATCAAACCCAGACTTAGACAAGCGTGATCAAGCAAGTCCGGCCGTTGTGCAATGTGACCAAACTGCAGTCATTGTATGGTGAGTGCTTCTGTGTGTGGGGCTGAGCGGTCCGCTTCGCTAGGGTTTCTGTGGGCGCGAGAGAGCAGGTGTCCTGTCCAGCTGCTCAGTTGGTTGAGTGGTTCAAACTTGGCTTGGTATATAGTTTGGCAGTCGTCAGTTCCTTGCATGCACCTTGAGTAAATGTACAAAACACAGGTGGCTTTTGAGCATGATTTTTGGCAGCAAGCGAACCGTTTTCCCGAATGTGCAGTGAAGGTCATGTTCGCTTAACGTGGCGTTGCCTCTCGCCACCGTTCGCAACCGTTGGCAACTGTTGAAGGAAGCTTGTGGGGAGGAATTTGATGGAAGAAGTGTCCGATTCGACTTGGTGTGAAAACGTGACCTCTCAGCGTGCTGAGCAAGTAGTGTCCCGTTTCAAGTAGCGTCGCAGTGCCTTCGGAATTTGGGTCTTCAGGTCAGTGTTTGGGGAGGTTTGTCCTACAACAGTGTCACGCAAGAATGTCCAACAAGAGCGTCTTTGAAGCGTGCTGTGCAAGAGTGTTCTGGAAGAGTGTCACACAAGGGTGCTCTGCAACAGTGTGTCCTACAAGAGTGTCCCAGAAGAGTATCGTGCATTAGTGTTAAGCAAGAGTGCTCCAAGGGCATCATGCAAGGGTGCCCCTCAAGAGTTTTTTTAGGAGAGCGTCGCACAAGAGTGTTCTACAAGAGCTTGACAAAGCCTCTGTAAATTGCCCCGATGTCAGGTTCGTGGGTTCAACCCTTTTTCACATCATGCAATTATTATTCTGCGGCAATTCAATGCGCAAGTTGAAAGAGCCACCGCCTTCTTGACCTTTTGATTGTTGTTGAGATGTTTGTTGTGCGGCACGGTCTTCGTCCATGATCCACAACTGAAAGCAAGAGCCGACCTTGTGTGGCTCGACAAGACATGGTGGCCCTGCATTGTGTGTTGGGGAATTGGCCTTGCCCCAGAGCCATCCTTCTGAAATTGAATCGTTGAGGACCGAATAAAGTAACGAGCAAGGTGATTTGTGAGCATGAGAGCATGTTCCTTGTTCAACCTGTTTGGAGTTGTGAATTTTTTGCGTCCCTAAATGACAAGCACTTTGTTCTACCAGCATTGCTTTGGATCGAAGGGAAATCAACGTACCCAGGCTTGCTCTTTCACAGCGCGCTTTCAAGATCAGCAGCAGCGCGTGCCTTCGGTCTCCACTTGGTAGGATTGGACACATCTCATGGGACTCTTGCCTCGGCAGGTGCTCTATCTCAGCCGATGCTTCGGTTTGTCAGGCCAGAAATCTGTGAGGCGGATGCTGATGCTTCTAATTTGCGAAGCGGATGCCCCAGGTAGCTTCGGCTGGTGATGCCGCCCTGCAAATTGCTTTCACTGCGGCAGCGGCAACATCGCTTTCCTTGGATATGTCAAAAGCCGAGCCCATGGGACACATGGCATTATTTTCTAACGTCCAGCTTTCAACTTGGATCAAGAAGTTCTTGAAGACTTCCTGTTTAGGTCTTCAGCAACAACTTGCAGCGCTTCTGGGGCATACTGCCCCCAGATCTTTATGGTCAACTCCGACCATGCAGAGAACATTGTCAAGCTCTCCAAGTGTGCGTTTTACAAGCAGCTTGGGCAAATCTTTTTGTGTAGATTTGGCGTACTTCGTGGATTTCAGTAATTGCAGCCAAAGAGCATTTTACTGCTTTCCAGACATTCGCAGGCAAGCTGATTACAGCACTCATCTCCTCACCTACACTTTCATGAATGTGGGGGGAACCGCTGCATTCACGGCCAAAACCTGATCAGCATTTGAGACGTGTAACTTGTATGTGGTTTTCTGGAGCTCCAGTTTGTTGATGCAAATTGATCCCATGTGTCTGAGGTGCAGGACGACCACGGCATTGGGCGTGCAGTGGCAGACTGAGTTCGAGACATCAGCATTGGAAGGGGCCCATAGGGGCCAGTGGTTCGATACAATGGGGCTGACCTGAAGAGGATGTGGCATCTGGATCAACACCAGATTTGTCTGTCGTTGAACATGATGTAAAGAGCGAACAGGATGCAACATGAAGCTTTGCTGGTCTTTTGATTCGTCTGTTTAGAGGCACTGAGTTCACCGTAACAGTGCAAGGTTGTTCCTCCTGGAGCAATGCGAGAGTGCATTCGCCCAAGATTCACTACAGAAGTTGGCAAAGCCAGAGTTTTTACGTGATTCGTGAAAGGCTTTTGCTACTGCTCCGGTACCTGCTCAACGGGTACCAGCAATCAACTCTACTGCACGCACATTAGCAGGTGATTCGGCAAATCTCATTCTGGAAGTTTCAAGTTCATTCCAATCGCAGTTTGAAACTTTCAACCCATGTTCATTTGTGTAGCCATTAGCAGCCATAGCATGTTCAGAAGCTTGTGGGGCAGCCCCACATCATTGTGTAACTGCCAGGTGACCAAATCAAGTTGAGCTTGGAGTGGCACCGTGTCGTACCAAAAACAAAGTGGTGGCAACTGACCACTCATGAGAAGGTGTCTATGATAGAGTTTGAGGGTTAGAATGCTCTTGGCTTAAGGAGACTTTTGCGAATGCAGCTATAGGCTCAGTGCAGATTTTTCCTGTTTCAAGCAATGGGAGCTGAATTGTTCGATTTTCCTCGGTGATATGCTTGGTCAGACCATTGCCTTGGTCATTGAGTCCAGCCCACAGCCTACCATAAAGATTTGGGATGTTAAGAGGCAAAGCTGCATCCTCGAGGGAGGGCAAAGGACCTCCACAGCGAGCCATTTGTGGGCCAAATGTGTCCTGGCAGACTTCACCACATACAGTGCGCTGATTTGCACCCGAAATTCCTTGTTGGAGCTCTGGGATCTACGAATGCTGAGCAGTCCTTTGGCCGTAAGCGGGCGCGATGTTGGAGGAAGCCCCAGGGCGCTTCGAGCAGTTTTTGGAGGGCTGAAGGGCGCATTATCTGGTGGCCTGTCTTTGTCAGCCTCTGCAGATGGGTTGCTACATCTCGCCACTTGGTTAAGCTTGGCTCAACTGGTATGCTTGTATAAATATAAATATACCTATTCGAACCCTATTCGGCTAGGGGATGATTTCGGACAGCCACTTTTGAAACATTTCCACTTGTTAGCATTAACACATACATATAATAGTTTTCTTGGTCTACTATTGCTGTTGCTTCTTGTCTTCTTGTTGTCATTGCTTACTTTAACATCTGGCTTCTGCAACAAACTATTTACTTACTCCAACATCTGGCTTCTGTAAATTACAACAAACAAGCTGGTTTGCAAACAAAGCCTCTAGTTTGCAAACTCCTTGGTTCAATATATATATATATGTCGAGAGGGGGAGAGGGGGGGGGGGG